ATATTTATTAGAAATTATTACAGTAAATATTCTGCTACTATGCTCACAACAAAAAGCTAATCTTAATTCATCTCGAACAAAATCTAGCTAAGAAACTTTTCCCCTTTCACAAAAATACAATAAAGGAATAGAGAAAACACAATAAACGACACAAGAATTTATACTTATTTACCAAACTATGGTTACGTTCAGCCTTCTGCGATGTGCAGGTTCTAATATGATTTGCGGATAATACAACGTGCCTTACAAACGCTCAATAAAACCCTCCTTAGATGCCACAATAATGACCACCTAATTTTTAAGTACTAAACCAATAGCTACTTAAGAATCCAAGAATGAAAACACCCCACCAAGACACGAGAATAAGTTGCTGGCAATGCTCTACAACTCAAACTTCGTTCTCTACCCTTCTAACCTAAAAACACAAAACTGCATATTTTATACATCGCGACAGCACCACCATGCTATGAACTTTCAAGTTCGTTTCACGCCCCCATCATTTTGGCTCCATATTCCTAACAAATCGAATTCTGGATCAAAGATGATATGTGTTATATCGAAGAAGACAGACAAGTAAATGATTGTGTATGAGCATGGTCAATATTTATACGAGATGAATTCATTAAGATTTGATATAATAATTTCCATGAATCTTCTTTTCAGGGTCAAAATATGAGAGGTGAATGATTGAGACCTTCTCCAATTCTTCGGTCATACAGAACGGCTGTGTCTTGTCTTGAGGACCAAGCATTGAATCAAAAACCGAGTGCTCCTTCAGTCAGTCAACCTTTTTGAAAAGTCTTCTCCTACCATACCCATTAAATTACCCACTCCTCTTTCTCTCTCTCTTAAATACGCCATCAAAATCCCTCTCTCCTCTCCAAATTCATCTGGGTTTTCATTCAACACTCCAAAAAATGCCTACAATCTTCGAACAGCAGCCTGGCCGGAGGTCCAACCGCGGCGGCAGATCCACTTGCAGGAGCTTGAGTTTTGGGGGGGTGCTTAGGGGTGCCCGGAATTTGACGGCGGCCGGAGACAAGTGCCGGCGGAATCAGGGTAGCAGAGAGGTGTTGCGAAGGGCGTTGGCGCCGCCGAGCCGGAGACCCACTCTCCGGTGGCTCAATTTCCGGCCCACTCCCAGTCGCCTTTCGAATATGTCCAAGGCTTGATTGGACGTATTGCTGGTTTTGATTTTGATTATTTGTTATTCTTTCATTCAACAAATTTTCTGTTCTTTTTCCTTTATGTGTAAATCTGTGGATGGATGATGATTCAACGAAGAGATTTGATTTGGTTACTGGTTTTGGTGTAGAATTTCCCATTTCTTTGTGGGTCAGTTCATCAAATTATTTCAAAAATCAGAACTTTTGATCCTCCCCCTTGTGGAGTGAAAATTGGATTAATGGGTATTCGTTTGATCTCGTAGTTCTTTCAGTTTTTGAGCTGACGTTTTGTGGATGGTAAATTCGAATTTGTTTTAGAGAAATGAGATCTTAAAACATTTGAATGATCTAAATAATTATGTCAAGCTGTAATCTGAATTGATTTATTGGGTTTGGTTATAAGTTGGTTTGGATTTAGTTATGTTCGAAGAAATTGAATCATTATGATAAATAGCTTTATTATCAATTCAAACCAAACTCTATTGATTTATTGAGTTTAGTCGTAAATGTTAGGTTTGAATAAATTGAATTGTTCGTCTTGGATAGAAATTGTAGTATTTGATCACACACACTTAAAACTAGAATATTAAGGGGTGGGGCACCGACAAGTTCGTCAGTTCGGTTTGGTGGGTAACCGGCACGCGTGCAGATGGAATTGAGGGGCAAGTTCGAGTCGGGCGGGCGGCTTCGCACGTGTGGGCTGGGCTTGGCAGTTTCGGGCCGAGCCTGCATACCTGTTTGGGCTCAGAGGGGGCTCGAGCCCCCGAACTTAAAGAAATAATTTATACTTTAAATATGTGGGAGTGGGGATTCGAACTCATGATCTTTTAGTTAGAGATATGTACCTCAATCACTTAAGCTATGTTCGATTTTGGCTATTGTAGATTTAACTTAAAATCTAAAGAGAATACTATAAGAAAATTGATGGGTTATATGTCTATGGAATAAAAGTAACATTAGTTTTGATAGATATTTTATATAATTAATTTATAAAAATTATTGGCAAATCTGAATATAAGAACAAATTGTTGATTATAATTATAATATACGAAACTAAATTTGGAGCGGTTGACAAAAAAATAAAAAAAAACTTAGCTATCTCAAAATCATACTTTTACTTACTAACTCAACTTGTAACTCTAATTTCTGAATCCACCACTGTATCGATTAGAATCTCTATTAATGACATGTTAGCCCTTCATCCTCTCATACTTAGCGTGTCCAGACAAATTGATTCGACAATTAAGGGACGAGTCGACAATCTCTGCTTTTAATCATTTCTCCGACAACATGCCGTAATTTATGGAGCGGTTAACCATTGAGCAATTTGCGTTTGCGAGCCGAAACTTATAAATAGGGAGTTCCACCTCATTTCTCATGTACACGAGACTGTTCCATTCTTTGAAAATATATCAAACTTAGACTGACTTGAACGTCAGAGTGACGAAGTCTTTTCTCTTTCTGTGTAAGTTCTAAGCATTCGTCGGCTCACCCAATCAAACTTTGCGAATTGGTCATTTTTGTGATAAAAAGAAAACTTACCGTGAATATACAACTTTTTTTTTCCCAAAAGAATGGATATACAATGCAACATTTGAATATCAGCAAAAAGATATTAAACCAACTTAATCTAATCCATTCCCACTCCTACTTCCTAACTATATTTTTTAATTATACAAAGGGAAATAAATCTAACTTTCCACCTAGTTTTACATCATCATAAACCAATACCAAAGTGCCAACATGAATTTCGTAATTTCGTAATTGACACATGTCTCTAGGTCAGAGTTCGAATCTTTCCATCCTCACTTATCGTAATAAAATAAAAAAAGTAAAAAAAAAAGAACCAACACCAAATACTTTTGTCTCCAATTTATTTATTTATTACTTTATCATTATTATTTTGGAATGGAAAATGCTTGTATGACCAAGCCTAGTTGGGTTCAATCCTATTAGGTGTAGAGTGGATCATCCTCTGAACGCCCAATTAGCCTCAATGGAGATTTGTACCCACCTAAGTTTAAAAAATATTTAAAAAAGAAGTAACAAATATATATATATATATAGAAGTATATATTTATTATTTCCTATTCTACTATCCCACATTCATATCTTTTAAAATTTTACATTTTTATAATAAAAACAGTCACAAAAAATCGTTTTTTTATAATTATATTCAACACGAAAAAAATATATTGAGATACTAGAAAATATATCGTGCATAATTAGAAAAAACCAGTCAATATAATCAAAGTTACACAGTTTCAAACTTTTCTAATCTACATTGCATAACTTTTATTTTTCATTTTTTAGAAAACAAATTAATTTATATCCCACCTATCAAATAAAATCTAATTATTGATAACTAAAAATGGAAATAGATTGTAATAAAATAAAAAAGAAGTGAGAGTTAGATAAAAGAAATTGGCTAGTATAAAGTATTGGATAATTGTCCATAGTGGAAGTCATAAAGTGAATATTAATGAATTATTATGGAAAATGGGCACTTTTGAATGTGTAATAAACCAAATTAGCAAATGGTGATATGCTTTTGACATTTTTCCATTGCCATCCCAATTTTATTGACTTTTGATCCCATATTTCAAATCTTTGCTTCCATTTCAGAGGTTTTGTCAACAATCCATATCTTCGATTTTGCCTCCGCAAAAGGCACTTTTTGAATTTATTTTACGTAAATATTGTGGTTTTTTTAAGTACAAATAGGTAAGGTGAGATGATTCAAACTCACGATTTTCTAATTAAAAATAGTTACTTAACTTGTTGAAATATGTTCAGGTTGGCACATCAATAATTCTAAACAAAAAAAGTTGGCACATCAATATTGTGTTTGTAGTACTATTTTTTTTTTTTAGTATCCGTGAGTGTCCAGATCCAGTTACGCGCACCTCAACTAATCTTACGGGTCAACTGCCTAACCCCACAACGTTTGGTGTCAGAAAACATATAGAAATTAATTTCTAAAGTAGGTAACCATTATAGGGTTTGAACTCATTATCTCTCACTTTATTCTAGCCCCTTTGTAAACTACGTATAATAAATTGATGAACAATTTAAAGTTAGATGTAATTGAAATTTTTAAAATTTAAAAAATTAAATAAGCATAATATGAACTCAAACACATTTAAATCAATAAAATAAATATATGTTAATTAAGAGTTTTGGTATAAGTCATAAATTATCACAGTATTTATATTCGTATACCTCAACATTTATGATCATTGAACTTTCAAACCATGAAAATGATCATGTCACTTACATGAATATAATTCAATTGATCAAATGTACTATTTATCTCTCAAAAAGTGACGATAATATCCTAAACACGAATGAACTTGGTTAAGTTATTGCATATTTTTAATAGGCTCTCTCATCTCTATTTGAATTGTAATATTACGAAGGAAAAAAGAAAATCCTTTTCATTTATATTGATTTGCAATTGACATATATTTACTTCTTACATGTACAACAAAATATATTTTTTAGTGAATAATACGTGGAAATAGGAATTCGAACCTGAAACTTTTTGCTCAAAAATGTCAAAGCGAGCATAGCTCAATGGTAATTTGACATATATCTTCAACCAAAAGGTTGTAAGTTCGACCCCCACGCCCACTTGTTGTACTAAACAAACTTTTTGGTCGAAGATATATGCATTGAATTATGTTCAAGTTGGCTATCGTTAAAGAATCTATAAAAGATTAGATTTATTGTAATCCATTAACTTAAATTTATGGAACCCTCTAATGTCATTTCCCCCTATTTAATATTTGATAATTTTCAAATCTAATACTCATAGTTGGAAATTTATCAATGTAACAGAGAATAACGACTCGTTTTTTATTGAACATTAACACGAAGTAGAATAACTAAGCACACCATACATAATTAAAAGAGAACCACCACACACCATAAAGCACTTATTATAAAAGAAAACACAGTTCAGAAGTAAACTGAACCGATTTTATTTACTGGATGACACAAAGTTTGAAGAAAAGGGATGATGGGTTTGATGGTTTTCAACAGTTGAAGTAGCAAAAACAAGCTCTTCCAGGGAATTGGGCATGGCAAGCTCCATGCTTGGCACCTTCCCAATTCTTGCATTGCCTGTCGCAGTGGCTCGTGTTCCCGCACCACCCCGACCACGTCTTGCTCCGCTTCTCGCATATCTTTGCCTCTACCGCCACTCGATTTTCTGTTCCCCAAAGTCACAAAAACGAAAAATGAAATATTACATCTCACATGAATAAGTAGGAGCTTATACTTGAGACTTATAATATTTGTGGAATCAACTCATTTGTGATCAAGTACAATATAAATAGACTCATCGAGATAGAATAATCGAGTATTTGATGACAAATCGGGTGGGGAAGATGAGATTAATTACCATTGATGGAAAGCATGAGGGCCAAAAGGAGGAGCAAAGCAACAACCATCTTGCCCATTGTTGATACAAATTTGTGTTTTTGCAATGGCACACAAATAACACACTTGAGGGTGGGTATTAATAGAAAAACTTGGCCATTAAAAAAAAGATTTAATTTTTTTCTTAAAAAAAGATGAACTTGGCCATTGGTTGAATAGTACCCATGTTAAGCATATTTCATTTTATTAAATGGAGGTAGGAATTCGTACTCAGGATATTTTGGTCAGAGATATGTGTCAATTATGGTTGAACTAAACTCATGTTGGCATATGAACAGATTTTGTTAATCATGTATTGAATTGTAAAATTCTAATAAAGACACTCCAACACACGACTTAAATAGCTCTATATATTCCTAATTTTACTTTTATTGACTTAAACGTAATTTAATTGATCAACATGAAACTTCTTTAATAGTTTGTTTTCTATATGTTCAACTGAAAAACAGTTTAAGAAATTCTAAAAACAGACAAGAAAATACTTAAATGCTTTTAGAAACATATATATATTTCATTTTTTCCTTTCAAAAGTGCTTATACAAATATTTTTCCTTAAAAATAAATTTTCTAAATGCATCTGAAATTCAGTGATTTGAATTTCAATATACGAATGGAAGATCCACATTTGAAAAGTTAATGGTTCGTTTGGTAACGTTTCCGTTTCCTGTTTCTTGTTCCTGAAATAGGAATGTTACCAAACGAACCTCAATTAACGCCTTGAATTGAGTTATAGGCTATATTCACTTTTAAAAAAAACTTTTTAGATTTTTCTTTATTACTTTTGACCATAAGTCATATCGTGCCATGATTAAAAAAATCAAAGGTCATATTGTGCCACGATAAATATTGAGTAAATTTTATAATTTATCTATTAGTTCTAGAAAGAAGATGAATGGTCATTTTGTTTTTCTTTGACAATGAAAGGAAGATGGACGGTCATGATTGTGTGAGTGGGTAGGTGAGTGAATTGTGTTCAAAATAGAAATCCATCAAGGTCAAAAAGTGGAAGTCACCAGCCAACTTTTGCATAAATACACAATATAACCATAAATATGAAATTAAGCTATCCTTTAAATTCGAAATATTTGTTGTTAGTGCCTTTGATTATTATTAGAATTTTATTATCGTGTTTGAATTATATTTCAAATCTAGCTTTTTTTTGGTTCAATAATTACAAGGTGAAAGATCGAAAAATAAGGTGAAAGATGAAATCATAATAATATTTGAAAGAGTAATAGATGTTTTAACCACTAAATTGGACTCGGATAAGTCTCTGACCTTACATTGAGTTATTTTGTTGCCTTATTGAATTATGATAAGTTCGGTAATTGTTTAATATTGATGTTGATGTAACCTATTTATTACATAAATTTTGATTAATTGTCGTAATGTGAAAAACAATTTGGTAGGCATATTAAAAAAACCATATTTTAAAATTGAGTACATTTAAGTGATCTAATATTCCGTTTTTATTTATTTACAAGAAGGGAATTCATTATATTCATGTTGACATTTTACCTTTTTACTAGTTTCTAACTATATTCTAATTTAAAGTAAGATGAGACATATTAAATAATAAATTAATAAAATAACTCAATATAGGTTTAATTTCAAAATTTGCCTTTAATTCCTCGACTTTTCATCCCAATACCAAATAATTTACCACACGTCTCTGTTGGCTGAGTTATGCGCATGATTCTTGAAGGTCTTCGAGTTGCTCGAGCCATAAACTACAACAATCTTTTGGTGGAATCCAATTCGCTAACTACAGTCCATTCCTCACAGGTGAGATATCACTCTAAGAGATTCAAACTGGTTCTTTAATATTGCATTTATAACCCTAAATTTTTCCATCATCTCCCTCAACAGTCAGCAGATGGTTTCGCAAAATATGATCGATGGTTTCACAAAATATGATCTCCATGGAACGACCATATTTCTTTTGCAATCTAATTTTTCATCTTGATTGTTGAATTTGGAAACGGATGATAACCTTAAATCCATAGCCAACTTGGCATCTTCTTCATCTTCCTTTCCAAAAAAAAAAAAATTGTAATCTATTTCAGTCCGTAAAAAATCATGAAAGTGATCAGAGAGATCCGACGGTCCTGATTGGCTGCCCTAGGTCGTACTGTAGGACGCGAAGCACTAGATTTCTGGTCTCCGGGAGGGAGCTCCCGAGCAAAACTTCACGGCACTTGGATGCAAACACACTGAAGCAAGCTTTTTTTTTCCTCTCTCTCTCTCCCTCGCTCTCGCTCTGGCGAGCTTGATCTTCATGGATCTATGATCTGCAATTTGTTTGGTACAGATTGAAGATGGCCAATTTCCTTGCTCAGTTTCAGACGATCAAGAATTCCTTCGACCGCCTCGTAATTGCAGGTGAATCTTAATCTCCCATCCATCTCGCTTCAAATTCTAGCTTAATCATGAAGTTCTAAATCTGCTCTGTATACACTTGGAGATTTGAACTGGAATTGAGTATACACTTGCTTGATGCGCAATGCAAATACGAGGCTAGCTTCAGAAATGATACTTGTGCTTGCTCTACTACATTCTAAATAGCACATTGTCTATTTCTCCAGCAGTAAAAATCATGAGTCTTCTGATGCATTAGCTTGTATTGTACCTAATTTGGTTAATAAGTTCAGAACAAATTTGTCATGACATATTACATTTTGCCTTGTACTCTGTTAGGGGACCTTGCTTGAGACCTCACATATTGGTACTGGAAGGTGCTTAGAAGTTCTTATGTTTATGCTTATTGCGTGAATTTTTTGGCCGTTCTCCACTTGGTTGCTAGTAATTTGTGTTTTGAATGGCAGTTGTGCCGTCAAGTTATCTTTCAGAAGATTTTTTATCTTAATCATTATGAAATGTATTTATGATAGTGAAAGAAATAGAGACCGTATGTGAATTGCAGAGTCATGGAATGCTATTTGTTTCTTTGTCCTTGTTCTGTGTTCGTAGCTGATCCTTTCACCTTTGATTACTTTCAGTTGAAGACGTCAGTGACCTGTGGCCTACTGTGAAGAATGGATTTGAGGAGAGATTACCATTCAAAAGAGCTTTTTTGAATAACAAGACACGGAACCTTGTCTCTGTCGATAAGTTGTCTGCTGAGTTCATATTGACTACAGATGCAAGACTCCGTAGTAGGTTCCCACAAGAGCAGTATTTGTTTTGGTTTCGGGAACCATATGCAACTGTTGTTCTTGTCACCTGCGAGGTAACTAAAGGTTGCATTGTTCGCAATCTCATTTATATGGTATTGGGAAATATTTAACTTGGACAGGTTTTTGAGTTTATTTATGTGAAGTTGAAATGTTTAAAGTTTCTTTAATAGTTTGTACTTACTACTCTTTGACAATTGATGATGGTATCTGGATAGTTTTTCAAACCTTTTACTAAAACTAAAATTATAAACTTTTCTATTCATTTGTTCTAGGATCTTGATGAGTTTAAGACTATCCTTAAACCACGCTTGAAGCTAATTGTCCAAAATGATGAGCGGGAGTGGTTTATTGTATTTGTATCTAAAGCTCACCCAAATAACGATCAAGCCACCAAGATGGCAAAAAGAGTATATAGCAAAGTTGAAGTTGATTTTAGCTCGAAGAAGAGAGAAAGGTAAACCTGGTACTTGCACCTATATTTTTTCACTAGCACATTTACTATTTCTCATAGATTCATGTCTTCATATGTTCATTGAAGGGTCAATTAGATACGTAGTTAGTAGCTCTTGAGCTGACTTTATGTATAAATAGTAGCACTTTGGATTGGAAACCTTTAGCCCTTTCAATTTATACCCTGAATTGGTCACATGTCGTCCTTTTAGTAACATTTATTTTACTATATTATTGCATAGTCTATCAACCAATTAAAGCATGTTATCTCCATACAGCTAACCAGTTATATTGCTTATATTATTATTGTGTTCTCTGTGTTGTTGATGTGATTTTTTTTTTTTGGATAAGAGACAATATATTCCAAAAAACAGAAGGAGAAAGAATTGATGTGAAAAATTCATCACCTTATGAGTATGAATTTATTCCTGAGCTTTAAATATTTGATGAAAGTGATAATGCATTAGAAACTTTGGAGATTTATACATCATAATTCAAGGTCAAAAGCATCTTGGTGATTTGCTTTTTCATGTTTCTGTCAGGTGTTGTAAATTAGACATACATTGCCCTGAATCAAATTTTTGGGAGGATCTAGAGTCCAAGATAATGGAGTCCATAAGAAATACCCTGGATAGGCGTGTACAGTTTTATGAGGATGAGATTCGCAAGTTAAGTGAACAACGCTTGATGCCAGTTTGGAACTTCTGCAATTTCTTTATTTTGAAGGTTAGGCATTTACCAATATGTATGCACATAGAGGTTCCCGGATGTTGATTTTAGAATTAAAATTGTTTTTGCCTTTAGAGCACCTAATGACTTTAAAGTTCTAGGCCACTTGATGTAAGTAAGGAGTGTTCTTTTTCTTTTAATAATTTAAATTCACATTTAATTAAACCCATATCAAGTATCAACCACTTGTTCACAGCAATTGTCATCTTCTTCTTGTAGAGATCTATGGGTCTTTTGACACTTGATTGTATCCCAGGAAAGCTTGGCATTTATGTTTGAGATGGCTCAGCTTCATGAAGATGCATTGCGCGAATATGATGAACTAGAGCTCTGCTATCTAGAAACAGGTGTCATGCATTTTTCGTATGAATATGTTTATGTCTCCATTTTCCCCATATGCAGAAAGTAGAAACTTGTTTTCAACATTTTTGGTTTATGCTTATATTAAAGTGCATAAGACTCACCCTTTACTGCATTATCATTGTACTTTAGTGAGATGCTTATCACTTAGTTTGGTGTGATAGGTATCCTTATTTCCAAGTAAAAAGTGATGAATTTATCCCCTCGCATCTTGATACCTTGAGCTTCTTGATTTAAGTTGCAGGCACCAGTACTCCTTTCAATGGTTTTATTTTGGTGATCTATATGTTAATTCTTTAAATTGATCTCAGCCAATA